GATAATGTTTTCAGGCTCTTAAGGTAGATTCAACAGTATCTCCATCTTATCAGCTGGAGTTTCCTTTAATAACACACATGCACAGGAAGTGTGTGCTGGTGCTTCCTTCTGCTCAAGAAGATCAGACCCTGGACATACATGAAACACAGTGTCTTTTAACATACCCTAGGTCTGAGTTGTCTTCTGCTGAGTCACTTGGTCCTGCCAAGTGGAAAGCATTTTCACTTTATTTGTCTTTCCTGAGAGGACAGCAGCAAGCAGTAACTTCTTACATGGGTGCGACCACAGTTCACTGCAGTGAGTGCAGTCACTACTGCAGCGGTGATATAGCAGCTCCTGTACCTCCAAATGTGACCTGTACAGCCTGCTGTCCTTGGGGTTTGAAGTGTTTGGCTTTTTTTTGTGGCCTGGTTTCTTTCACAGTTTTTCCATTTGCTCTTGTTGAACATTGAAAGGTTTCTTCAAAATACAGTAGTCCCATGTTTCACTCCCAGGGCCTGTATGTCTTTGAGCTTTCAGGAGAAAGGGTGGTCAGCTTATCCGTTTTAGGCATATTTCATTGACAGCCTGTCATTCCATCTAAAACCTTTCTTTCAAGCAGCAGCTGCATTCTGTCTGCCAACTGGTAGCTAGAGAGGAAAGGGAACGAAAGTGATTAGCCAAGCTCCCATCTGCCTGTGGGATATGCTGGTTGTATCTTTTTGCAGGGCATCTGACTAAGGCCAGATCTGCTCAAACGTTACTAATGCGTTGCAGATCTTTTGGGTAAGTCAGCAGGAACTAACTGGTGGCCAAATTAAGAGAAGAGAAAGGGAAGCTTAGAAAAGTTCCTTCAGTAGTAGGAACTTTTTGTATATTTTAATTCTTCCACTTGGGTTGTCTGAGCCTATCCTATGCATATTATCTTAAAAATGTCTTATGCATTTTAAGATGCAGTTTAAGATTTGAGAAAAGGTTTGGGATAGTTCCTGTTTAAACCCACACCAACTTGCTTAGTTTGGTAATTATCAGGCTCTCATACCGCACAGATTTTTTTTGGAGTTGGACATCCTTACTAAATTTTAAATATATTCTTAGATTTCAGCCTTCAAGATTCCAGAGTTATGTTTTAGAATATACACGAGTCAACAGTTTTGACTTTGAGGTTAACTTTGGTAACCCGAGGTTAGCTCACACATATTTGTTAGCTGTGGGACATTTTGGGAAAAATAAATTCATTGTAGCAATATGTCTATTAATATTGGAGTCACACAGTCTGGTGTGTTGGGATCCTTCTTTATTTTGTTTCAGTTTACCTAGTATCTCTCAGTAAGGTTATATGAGGAAACCTATCTGCTTTGCTGTTTGAGAGGATTTTTTTAGTGTTCTGGTGCCACCTATTGAATTCTTTTCAACTGCATCCTATTACATTGCTATAAAAAAATCATAGAATAGAATAGAATCATAGACCTTTAAAATGCTTAGAAGGACATAGAACTGCCATGAAATTCTGTTAAAATGCCAGTGCTTATTTGGAGGGAAAAAAGGGCAATGTAGGACTATTATTTTCCAAACTGTTTTAAGAGGTGATCTGCTCTAGTTGACACTGATCTAAGCAGGGCAGTTGGACTAAATGACCTCTTGAGGTCACTTCCAACCTTGAGTTCTATGATTGTGTGTAACATTTAGCATCTCTCACCATGAGTGAGCAATAAACCTCACGCTATATTTAAGCTAGTAGCATTATTCCTAACTTTACAAGGGAGGGGATTTGAAAATTACTTTCACAGGAATCTTAAGGAGGTGAATGAGGCAACCAGAAATACAACACTGTGACAAGCTTATGAGCTCTCTTTTGCTCATATTATCTTCACTTGGAAGAGGGAATCTTGAAGTATAAATTTTTGTCTCCATCGTGTTTGCATTAGAGATCAGTAAATAGCTTGAAAAGTATTTCTAAATGTTTCACTAATCTCTGAGCAGAGTTTCATTTAGAACTTTTTCTGCAACTCCTTCTATTCTTTTCTTGGAAACAGTTATTTAAGTGGAAGTTGATCTGTGTAGATGCTCACAGAAAGTTAATTTGGGGCTTGAGGTATATTTAGTGTGCTGAAACAAAGTGAGATTTGGGAAGGAGGGGAAATAATTGATTCTTGAGCTGATAAGCCAGTTGGAGAAAAAAATCATATTATGGAATTTAGAGTGACCAACTGCCAGCTTTCAAACACTGAATTTAAAAAACATGAAAATACATTGAAAATTAATTGCTCATGGCAAATATGAATGAATATACATGTTAGCTTTTACAAGGTTCCTTGGCAGTTTAACGTATACAGTGAGATTATACAATTGCTGTTAATAAATCTTCCAGTCCTTATCAGAGATTTCAGATGCTGAAGATACATTGATAGTTCAAAAGATCATCTCTATTTTTGTTTCTTATCTGTGACAACTCTCAGGTTAGGAAGCTTCATCTGCTAACATTCTGTAGCTCTGAAAAGTATCCATGGTCCTCTGTTTCAGTGGAGATACATAGATACAAATGACTTAACATACTAAAGCTGTTAATATAGTGGCTTCTAAATCAGTGTTATTCAGTCTGTTGTCAGTCTACTGCATTTTTTTACATATTATATTCTTACAATTAAGAGCAATTTTATTTTGACATTTTCATATGATTTCAGACAAACTATAGGCAGGCCCATATCCTCATCTCATTGACCAGATTTTAGGCAACACCCATCCCCACTTCAATAAAGAATGAAGTAGCTAGCTCTGCGTTACTATTTCTAGCTGAGCTTCATTTGACTTCTGTTGATGCTTTTTCTTTAAAATATCAAACTACTGGCTTTTTCCAAATTTTAATTTGTAGGAAGAGATCTTGAATAACGTACAGCCCACAAAAAATTGAACTGCTCACTAGAAAAGTACTTACAAGATTTTAGCTTTTGTTTACATTCATTTTTATACCATGTCTTATATACATTTCATGACAGTTCTGAGCATAAAGAAATTGCTCACTCTCCATAGATGACTTTGTCATCACTGGTCGTGTTTTCTTAATGGCTGTTGCTGGTCTTCTGAATTGTCCATACGGAGTGCAGAATCCATGGTGGCTATTGAGCAGCCAAGACGTGTGCTGCTGCTTGTTGGGTCGATAAGGAAAATCTCTGGAGTCCCAGGAGATCTGCCTATGTTGAGCTTCTGTGTCAGAGATGAGAGACATGGTTTTCATGCTGGCACATGAACAGAGCAACAGAACATGTATCCTTCATAAGTATTGCAGTTTTTCACATAAACCTGGATTTTTGCTTTAAGGGTTGAAGGAGTTTCTTTTCAAAAGAGTAGAGCTACAACAGTTGTGAAGTACCATGTAGGGAAGCTGAAGTAACAGAGAATAACAGGGAAATTATAAACAGTGAAGTGTTATCTGAAAAACTGTCCTGGTTTCAGCTGGGATAGAGTTAATTATCTTCCTGGTAGCTGGCACAGTGCTGTGTTTTGAGTTCAGTATGCAAAGAATGTTGCTAACACTGATGTTTTCAGTTGTTGCTAAGTAGTGTTTGGTCTAAAGTCAAGGATTTTTCAGCTTCTCATGCCCAGCCAGCGAGAAAGCTGGAGGGGCACAAGAAGTTGGCACAGGACACAGCCAGGGCAGCTGACCCACAGTGGTGTAAATGGGGTATTCCATACCGTGTGACATCACATGTAGTATAGGAACTGGGGAGTGGGGGTGGGGAATTGCCGCTGGGGGACTAGCTGGGTGTCCATTGGCATCAGCGGGTGGTGAGCAATTGCACTGCGCATCATTTGTACATTCCAATCCTTTTATTATTGCTGTTGTCATTTTATTAGTGTTACCATTATCACTATTAGTTTCTTCCTTTCTGTTCTATTAAACCGTTCTTATCTCAACCCACGAGTTTTATGTCTTTTCCTGATTTTCTCCCCCATCCCACTAAGGGGGGGAGGAAGTGAGTGAATGGCTGTGTGGTGCTTAGTTGCTGGCTGGGGTTAAACCATGACAAAACCACACATGTCCGTCCATCCCCCCCCCCCCCCCAAAAAAAAAAAAAAAAAATCAGCAAAGAAACCTAGTGGGAAACAACTAGTAGAAAAAGGGAGAGAAAGGAAGAGCCAAACAAGCTGATGAAAGTTTGTGGACAGTCACAGCAAGGAATGTGTGAACAAGTGGATTTGTTCCTTGCTGAAAGCATAGCAGGCTATGTTAGAGAGAGACATCTTGAGGGAACAGACATACTTTTGGGATGGATTTCAGGATTCTTATGTCAAAGTGGAAGCTTCTAATCCTCAAAATGAGTAAAAGATATAGTGATGAGAACAAACTCATGGTTCCAGACATTGCCATTTATTTTTGTCTCCCTTTCTTGCAACAGAAATTTTACATTACACAAATACAAAATTTTGGGGGGTCAGGATTTCAAAGCAGAGTGTAAAATTGAGGCTTGTTTTTATAGGTGTGAAAAGATCATAGCTCCCAGTTCAAGTCAGGAGGTAATTTATAACATGGAGATAAAAGTTATTTGGAGAGATTTTTAAATATCAGCAGGATGGTCCAGGAAGGGCACTGCCATTTAGAAATTAATATTAGGGAAAGTAAGTGGCTTTCAGGAATGTCGAGGCTTGGCTTTCCAGCTCTTGTATAGTGAGGATTATATACAGGTAGGTTTTTTCCTAGACAATGAGAAAAAATGTGTTGGTATCTCTTCTTAGCAATAAAATCATTCTTCATTCAGTGAAAAGTCACCCTCTATTTGTTGATATTGCTTGTACTTGTATACACTGCTGTGTGATGATGCAAAATATGTTGAGGCTTTCAGCTTTTGGTATTGCAAATTGCATTGATAAACATGAAAACATTTAACTATCTCCCAGTCAAATCTGTCCTGAAAAATGTGGTTCAGAGAAAGCCATACAAACCATTGGCCTTTTTCTAATATAGATGAACTTCTCACCTTCATGTATTGCTCACCTGGTGATATCTTTTCCCCACTGTGCAGCAGCAGATGAAAATCTGGCAAACACCAGCTCTCCCTCCTCTGTGTCACCTCCACCTGCACGCTCCACATCACTCTCACCTCCAGGCACCACTGAAGGTAACGGTGAATTCAGGACCGTGGCATTGCTGCTCTTCTGCTTTAGCTGAACTGGCATCTAATTCTATCATACATTGGTTAACTTCATCACTGTTAAAACAAGCTGGTGCTTTACGTTGTCTGAAGTCAATTATATTACTGCAAAATTTGTTAACATGATGAGGACATATTTAGGTTTTTTATTTGAATTAAGTCAAAGGTGGGGATTTGAAACACGTTTTTCAAAGAAAGCAGTTGTTACGAGTTCATGTTTTCCTTATGGACACCTCTTCCCCTTGAGCTCTCAGATGAGATTTTCTTACTGAGCTGTGACAGTGACACTTTCCTGCAATTCATGCAGAGCTCCTCGGGCACCACAGCAGTATTTGATGATTGTGGGAAGAGAGTCCTTCTTGGGTCAACAACACGAAACAAAAATACCCCAATCAGTCTGGGGTTTTTGCAAGCTGCACATTAATTCATCCCCTTCAGCTGGTGTTTTCAAACACCTGAAATCAGTGCATCCCCCACACCTTGCTAAAGGATGATCAAACCTCTTTGCCACAAAGGCATCCCAGACATACTGGTGGAAATTTGGACTTAGTGGTCTTGCAGACGTAATCGCAAGCCATGAGCCATGCTCTTGCAATAAATCCAAGCAGATGTGCTGCACAGCCTGTGCAGGAACTGGAAAGCAATGTAGATGTGTTCTTTTTGCCAGTGCTGGAGGGAGAAATATAATTCAGAGAGCAGCTGGCAGTCTTTCTGCTTGCAATGAGTTTCTCACTTTCATGCATTGCTCAGCTGATGATATCTTTTCCCCACTGTGCAGCAGGAGATGAAAATCTGGCAAACACCAGCTCTCCCTCCCTTATGTCACCTGCACCTGCACGCTCCACATCACTCTCACCTCCAGGCACCACTGAAGGTAATGATGAATTTGGGACTGCGGCATTGCTGCTCTTCTCCTGTTTCAGCTGAACTGGCATCCACTGCAGCCTTCCTGATGCTGTCTCCACCCCTCAGGCTGCACAGCACAGACTCCTGTCTCAAGGAACAGTGATTTTTAATGTGACCAATATTACTTAAGAATGTGCAATTCCCTGGGGAAAGCTCACCTGATAGTTGGAAGGAAGGAATGTTTCTTTTTAGATTTTTGGCATATGATCGTGTCCAATACCTTCAAAGTTTAATTTACACTTTTTCTCTCTCTTTCTCTTGTTAAGGAGTTGAGTCAGCAGCGACTACACCTGGTAAGAAACTTATTATTTACATGACAGAACTGCGTTGATGTTTTTTTCTGATCATTTCTTCTTTCCTTCTCCTGTGTGCAGTTATCTTACAGAGTGTGTAATGCCTTTTCATCCAGCCCAATGAAATGAAATATGCTGTCTTAAGAGACAAGAATGTCAGACAGGTCTGGTTTTGAGTCATGAATTTGAGTATATTTTAAAACACAGCATTTAGCATGAAAGAGGTGCAGTCAGCGCCAAAAAGGGTTATACTTACTGAATGTTCAGCTGACACCTGTTGGACCCCCTAACAACCTGAGCGTTTAGTGTGCCTTTGCTTGCTAACAAATTCACAGTGCCTCAGTACAAGAGCGCTTCAGCACAGCAGTCCTGTGTTTTGTGCAGCTTTGTGTCCCTCCTTGGCTGGGCAGCCTCCAAAGCATTAATGAAACTGCTGTACCTCTCACCACAGGTGTCTCTCCAGCAGACAGCACACACCTTTCCACGCACACAGGCTCTGTCCCTGCTGTGGGACTCAGCAACCCACCACGCAGCAGCACTCCTGCCCTGACCACACGCACTCCCATTGCCTTCAAGAATGCTTCATCAGGTTTGCTGTCTTCCTTTAGATGCCACTCACTACTCCCTGAACTGTAGCGGAAAACTAAGTAATTCAGCCTCAGGGTAGCCTTTTTCACCTTATGGTTCATCAAATAGAAAAGGTATCTGCAATTTGGCATAGTGGCAATACCAGAAATATTTCCAACATCTGCTATTTGATGGCCAGGCCTTGTAGTCATCACAGTAGTACCAAATGCCAGCTGCTGTCAACGAGGCTGTTGCCAAAGCAATAGCAATAGGAATGGACCTAAAAGAGAATGTAGAAATCTGTCAGTGGTTTATAAGCAGGGAGGTAAATAATGCAATATAATAAGTAATATGGTGAGCAAGGTATGTCATCTGGCAAATGAACACTATTGGAGCACTTGTTTTTGAAAGAGAACAAGCACTATTCATAATTGTGTTTTACTGTAAGAATATAGCAAAATGTTTTAGTTTTTCCCAGTTCACAATTATTAATGCCATTTTTATGTTGACTCCATCCTGGATTATCCCTAAATAATGACACAAAAAATTGTCCTTGTACACTGCCAAATCCATTAATAAGTTGTATATTCCTAAAAATTTGCTTTCTATTTAAATACTCAGTTTCTGTTTTATTGGATGTATTAACATGATTTTCTTTCAGCACTCTTCTCTAAATTACAAAAATCCTGGAAGGAAAAAAAAAGTGGAGAAGGGCTGTAGCGTAAGACATTTCTGATGACAGAGCCGTATGATATAATGAATTTTACTTTTTAATGCTGATATGTTGTTTATTTCCTTACAGATGATTACAATTCAACATCCTTGCACAGCACCATCTCACCAGTCAGCATGCCAGCAAACACTGGGATCATCCCCACTCACACAATAGGTGACAAACTTGCACACAGTTATGACAGTTACGATACTGCAAGCACAGAAAATGTGTTAGAATGAGGGAATTTGTTCTGAATTTCTTTTATCAAACTTAAGCATACAAATTAGACATACAACTGCATTAAACTTAAGGGTTTTTTTAGGACTCTTATTAATAGTTTATGAGTAATATTAAAGACACCAGATTTGCTACTTGTCAAACAAGTGAAAAATAGAAGTTATTTCCACACAGCAGCATAGCAGGAGGGTAAATCTGTCAATTACTGTGTCAGTACTCCTCTTGATATTCACAGAAATTTGCCCAAGCAGCAAAAAAGTATGAATACATCCAAGATCTGTATGTTTCTCTGTTTTCTGGTGGCTTCCCTTTTGTTTCACTCAGCATTAACGTTTTCTTGGGATCTAATATTGCAAGCACTTACACACATTATTGTCGCAATTGGGCTGTCAGGAATTACTCAGGTCAGTAAAATAATGTGTGTGCTTGAGCAAAGTACATCCAGGAGTTGGACTCCTACAATCTTTGTAACTGCCCTTCAAGTAGCTGTAGGCTGCTGTCAGCTCTTTGACAGACTGAACTTAGCTTTTACTTGTGGATTTTCTGCCCCTAACCATCTTCGTAACTCTCCACTGGACCTTCTCAGTTTACCCTCTCATTAGGGGCAATTATTCAGCCAGATGACTCCTAGCCTGGAGGGATGCAAATCTAGGGCCTATCTTCTATGAAAAAAATTAGACGTCAGTCTCTTTTGGTAATACTTATACCTTAATATATTTTAAGTAATTGTTTTCAGGATGAAGTTCTTTGCTCAAGCTTCTGTACAGATTTTCTAAATACCAGCTCATAACTTTTTTTGGGTATTTCAGTGTAAAAACAGTTGTAAAACTATCTGTACTGTTGCATAAATCTCTTTCCAAATGTAAGAGTAGCTGTGCAAAAAATAGGTAAATTTTTTTTCTTTGGTGACACTGGCTGCTGTTCAGTTAGCCATTCCACAGCGTACTTATCCTGGGAAACTGCTATAGCTTACCATACTGCTATGAGATTGAGTGATTTTGGAATATTCTTGTGTAACTTTGTATGCAGAAATGTTGTTAATAACCAGTTTGATTTGTAGTTAGTGATGTCACTGGAAAATGATGAAAGACACATGATCCCTAAAACAGCTAGTTAAAAATGGGGTTGTTTTCTTCCCTTTTTTGAATGTGAGTGGAGTGCTAAATACAATTACTTGTATTGAATATATTGAATGAAGAGTTTTGGGCAGTACGAGTCACCCTCCTCCAATGCTCTGTGAAAAAAAACCCAAACCTGCTGAGCTACACCTTTGTTTTGTTTTCTTTTCTTATAGAAGGTCCCATAGTGACAACTGAAGAATCTTGTGGTAAGAATCAAACCCCTTATTCTTCCTCAGTCTTGAAATTTGACCAAATCAGTAAACTCAAATACAGAAAACTGATCAGTAAAACTGATCAGTTAGCATCTCAGGTTATTTTATAAACTGTCTTCAAGAGTAGGATTAAAGTTATTAACATTTATATTCTTCTCAGCTACTTTTACAGTTCTGTTAAATTGCCCTGCTCTAGGCTGTCGATATCAGGGCTGCAGAAGAGATCTGACTTCATTCCACTGGGGTCTCTCTAATTTTTCCCCATCATGCTGATAATCATATGCTACAAACTGCAATTCATAACTAAAAAAAACCCTAAAGTTTGGACATGGGTTTATCTCTCTTTAGAATTAGAGACCTCTCCTTTCTAATTTTCAGGAATAGACTATAGCCATTATTTACTAGGTGGATATTAAATGCTTTGAATAAGAAAATTTGAAATTTCTGTTCAAGCAAATGATTGAAATGTGTCAAAATATTTCATTTTGAACTGACATTTTAAATTGAAACAAATTGGGTTCTGGAATGTTCATGTTTTTAATTCTTTAGTTTTTCTAACTAGAAAATTATTTAAAAGAATATTTTCCTAAGGAAATTTTCTGGTTTGTGTAAACAATTTTTAAAGTAAAAGATAAATAAAATTAAAAAAAGTAAAGAATAAAGAGCAGCTGATTTTGCTGTATTTTCTGATTCTTAAAACACATGTGGTGCTGGCAGTGCCATAAAACATTTAATGATTCTTAAAGATTGTCATAAAATCATTGTTTGCTATTTTATCTCTTTCTTTTAGTTGATCATATGAACTACAGCATAGGAAATGGAAAAGACGAGAATAACATGGTTGAAGTTATACTGGGAAATCTCAGAAAAAACAGAGAATATGTTATTTTGTGGGCTAACAAGAACATAACTGTGAATTCCAGCACCAATATAATAAAACTCCAGAGATGCATGAGATACACTGTTAGAGTTAAAAATTGCACAGATGTTTATTTTACTATTCCGCCTGGTAGGTATAGAAAGTTTTTGCTTTTAATAGTTTCTTCTTCTTCCTTTTTTTTTTTTTTTTTGACATGCAGCAATTCAGCTTTCCTGGATTTCTTAGTCTATTTTTGTCTCTTTTCAGAGAATCAGAAAGAAGGTTTTCATACTTTGTGCTTAGTTTGCAAGATATTTTGCATTTTGAAGTTGCATCTTAAAACCTCACAGTATATTCCTCAAGTAGGATGTAAAAAATTGTAATTTTCTCATTGTAAAGGAAAAAGGGGAACTTTAACTACATTGGCCATATGCAGCATGGTTAGCAATAGCAAGATCAGCCAGCACTTGAAAGCTACTATTTATGCTGGATGTTTTGTTCACTAAAGAGATTGTTGGATACCAGCAGTGTCTTTATCTCATGTAGGCTTTTTCAATTTTTACTTTCCATTTCTTGTTAAATTCTTTGTATATTATTCTGTGCCAATTGTATCTTCGTACTGCAGAACAAGTCAACAAATATAAAAGAACAAATTACTATTTAAAGAATCAATGTAGTCAATGTCACAGTGACATACAGCATTAATCCTTTTCAGAGAGCAGCAAGGATCCTTTCGAAGTTAAGGATATAACCGACACATCTGCAAAGTTATGTTGGGAAGACTCACTTGCCTGTGCTAATGTGACTGTTAACTGCAAAGGTAAGACACTTCTAAGATATTTTACAAGTTGATTATTTATTTATTTATTTATTTATTTTTAAAAGCCATGTTGATGTTGTCTTTTGATGAGAGACTGGCAGATTTAAATTAATTGTGCCAGTTTGAGGGACGGGCTGTTCAGAATCTCTGGGATTTCCAGGTGGGGACTACCGTCCCTGCGCACTGCAAGTCTAGGGAAAGTTTAAACCCAGAGAGCTCATTTACTGAGTTTACCAGCTTCACAAATTGCAGATTTCTGTAGTTTTTGAAGTCCTGCTTGATGGTCTGAAGGGAACCTGAGATTTTGGAAATCCTGCAATCTGTGGGTCTTCTGTGAGCTGATCCCTTGCAGACTACCTGGAAAGCTGGCTCTGTAGGCTCCTGGATGGTGAGAGTCCAGGCTCCCTGCTCTTGGAACCGGTCAGCCTGAGGAGACACTGGCTCAAAGGCAGCTGGTGTGGTAGGGAAGATATGGATGCTGAATGTCTTCATGTGTCACGGAAAAATGTGTGATGAATGTCTGGGACTGGAGATTTCATATTTCAGGGAGCTGAAGAGCCAAGAAGCCGCTCCAGGGTTCTGCTAGACTCCCATGAAATGTTTTGATTTGTGTGGGAAAACTGTTTTCTTAGAAAGTCAAATCATATGAGCTTTACTGATGAAAAGTAAAGATCTATGCAAACTAAGTTAGTATAAAAGAACCTAAAACCTAGTCATTGGATTAAGTTGTACACTTTTCCATTTGGAATATTATGATAGCTTATTACAAATTATATTGAATAAATATGGTAGAGAAAATCCCAGTTAAAATAGTACCAGGTACTTTTGGACTTATGAAAAATATTGATAAAACTCTTTTTGTGTCTACAGGTGCACTAGACTTTACAGAATTAAATGAATGTAAAGAGCTGAACGCTTTGTCACCCAACAAGGAGTACAAATGCACTGGTACTGTATGTTTTTTTGAAAAGGAGGTTGTCAAGCAAACCTTCACCATAAGAACAGATTATGGTGGTAAGTGTAATGCTTATTTTTGCTTTATGTTCCGCATATTTCTGGAAATCCCTACTATGAATCCCACTATTGTGTTTCCTGGGGTTGAAGATATATTTTGAGTGGCATGCTCAGCCACTCTCAGGTTATCCTCCAGCTCCTCCTGCCCAGTCTACTGCCCTTGTGGTTATTCTTTGACTGCAGCCACAGTCTTCCTTTCCCTCTCCACCCCTGGTCTCAGTACTCCAGTGTGATGCCTTCCTCTCCTCTCAGAGATTGTGATTTGGGTTTTTTTTGGAGGATGAGAACATGGCCAAATGTAAGGAAGTTTGAATGAAGACAAAAAGAAGAAAAAAAAAAAAAAGAGGCCTAGTCAAATACAAGTGTTAAATTCTTGATTTGAAGCAAGATGTGATAAAATAATTACAAAGAGTGTCTCCAGATGTTTTCCAAAACATTGCCCTTGGAAATAGCTTAGCTTTTTTTTTCTGGATGAAAAAGGAAATCAACTAAATCAAGTAACCTGCAAATAAAAATTCAGGACAAACATTTAAAGTTTGTTAAAATTATAAGAAAATCAAGGTAAATATTTGGAAATGTTGGACAATTTTGGTAATATGTGGTATTGCTATATTTACCTTGTCCTGAATTAATTAAATTTATGAAATTACTCTAATATGATGCTTTTACATATATTCAGTTTATATTTATGTATAATTTCTTTGAATGAAATAGACTGCGAAAAATATTACATGTTGTTGGTGTCTTGCTTTAGTATCTAATGAAATTTAATTTAATCAAAGTAGGTAAAAAGAGGAATATTGTGCATTTTCATTCAAACATTTCCTTCCCTCCCCATTATTTTTCTTTTTTCAACAGCTCCAGAAGCACCAGAAAACCTTACAGTGGTTTGTGACGCCAGAAATGTGTCAGTTAGATGGAATAAACCTAGTGACATTTCAAAGGGTCCTATACATGGCTATAGCGTGAAATGCAATGATAACGGTAAGTATATGCCCCTTCAGTATTGAATAATTCATTGCATGTTTTAATATTTACAGAGCACCGAGCATGATGCAATGTCAAACCATATTGGAATCTCTTCAAACTGTGCATAATTTTTTTTTTTTTTTGAGGGGGGGGGGGAAGAATGACACACAAATGTTTAAATTTCTTTCGTTTGAGGTTGTTCAGGTGAACCATGTGGTTATTCAGTTTACCATTTCAGGACACAACTCTGTCACCCTTCAGTTCTCACGCTGCTTGTGTTAAGAATAAGTTATGACAAAATCATCAGTTGCCTGATCAGTTTGAACATGGTGCTTTCTGTCTCAGAAAATGCTGCTATAGCTGGTTAATATATTCTCTGAGAAGACAGGGACCTGCCTTCTGAGTAACAACAATGTATGTAAAAGTCAGGGGTCAGAAGTATGGCAGTTAGCATATACATGTTTAGATAGGTAAAGCTCCTGTGCTCCCCAGATAGAAATAATCTCTCCCATTCTCCATGTCCCAAATTTGACCACTACCAAAAAGGGCGGCAGCCCAATGCACCAGTTTCTCTGGTTGGTCTGGCTTGGCCAGTGTAGGAGAGCGAGGTAGTATACCGGGGTGCGGGGAGGTCACATCTGAAGCAGCCAGAAGGAAAGATGGAGAGGCCATTGTTCCCCAGTTCCCCAAGCCACCAAAGCCCCAGCTGCAGTGTGGGTAATAGCTTTGCTCATGTTGTTTCTCATGCAATTCTTTCTGTCCTGCTTGCCCCTAATAAAAGCATACATCTCTCTCATCATACCAGAACAGGCTTGCCCAGTGTGCAGAGCGACTTCTGACGTGTGTCTACTAACCCCTTCCCAAGCTGAACACAGAAGAAATATCAGCCTCTCTTTATCAATGCACTTTATGTTAGTTTTTAATTACACCCATTTAAATGACATACTGAGAAAGTAAAAAACAAAACCAAACCAAACCTCAACTTTCTACCTTTCTGATTGGGGAATATATATCTTCCTCTTCCTGAGCCTTCACTTAGCATTAGTAAGCAAGACAAACCAACCAAGTACAAGGTAATTAAAATCGAAGTACACATGACAGTGTTTTCAGGTAGCTCTGATGAAGTGTAACAGTTCCTGTGCTCCTAACATAAATTTCATTAATTGATTTCATTTTTCATTTTTTCTTAAAGAGCCAGAATTTGTCAACACAACTAGCTTTATTTGCCATAAATTAGAACCTTATAAAGAAGGTTCTGTATATGTGACTCCATATACAAACAGCAAATATAATAGCAACATATTTATGGGAAAAACTGGAAGGTGTAACTTTACAACAAAATCAGCAGGTAAGTCAGTTGTTTGCTAACTGTTACGAACAAGGCTGATACTAACACAGGGAATATGTACTTTCTTATTGTACTTCATTATATTTTATATATGTTATTCCTATTAGCCAAGAAACTGATTAACATTAAAAGAATTTTATTGACATTCATGTCATTAGTTTCTTTTTTAATTATGCATTTAGTATTAGTGTTCTTATATATACCAGATTTTTTAAAGCAATTCTGCATTTGTTTGAAATTCATGATAAGATTTTAGAAAGCATTATGTCCCAATCTAAAGGAAAGATTCAAATTAAACAAAATGAGAATGAAAAACGTTCATTTTTTTCTTTGTGGCATGAAAGGTGTTCTGTAGCTGCCTGTTTGCTCAAAGCAGACCTGCATTACCCAGGCTGCACCAATACTGATGTGTGTACCAGGTTTCAGTTAGTTTGGATGTACGTGTACACAGTCAGCTTCTAAGACTCCACATTAGGTTAAAGCCAAATGTGTGACAACCCTTGTGCTGTCAGAAAGGTCTGTGCACCTTTTTGAGGCTATACTTTCAAAAGCTTACCCCCGTAGTCCTAACTCTTTGTTTGCCAGACATGTTCAATTGATAGAACTATAAGAAAAGCTAAAAAAAACCAAAAAACAACAGACTTTGCGGATATTTTCCTTATGCAGACACGGCATAATAGAGACTCAGCTCTTTCTGTTTTGTTGGGGTATTTTTTCCCCATTTAATCTTCAGATATAGAGCCTCATACTGTTTTAATTCCTTCTTTGAGAAAAACAAAAGAAAACAAAACCAAAACCACCCAAAACCCCATGTTTATCTAATTTCTTCTAGTACTTTTTTAGCTCTAATTGCACCACCTCCAGACTCAGCTAATATAGAGATACAGCTATAGGGAAACTGATGGTTTATACCTGGTGTGACGGAAAAGGACTTCACTGCAAGGTTCAAGCAAACGACTTGAACTTCACTCGCAGACTTAACTGCAAGGTTCAAGCAAATGATTTATTTGAACTTCACTTACAGACTTAACACGCCACTATTGCAGGTTTTACAGATACAATGGAGGAATGCACTATTGCAATTTTTAAGGCAAGAGTAGTACACTATTACAACCACAAGCAATTCACAGACAGCCACAAGCTCTCAATCCCAGGGAAGCTACCTCGACCGGCGTCCCCATCAAGGGGGGGAAGGGTTTCCTTCACAAGCCAGCTGTATAGTTGGAGAAGTGAGTCCCCCATCTCCAACCTGAATCTTAGAGTTCTTATCCCCTGACTTGTGGAATGGTGTGTATGACTATGTCTGAGTGGATCATGATATATGCCTGAATGGATTATGTATATCTGAGTGGAGTTTCCCATTATCTTTCCTTTGCTGGTCTGTGACTGTTTGACTACACAAGGTTGTCATTTGAAACTGAAGCTGAAACCCTCCAGGTTTTGGGGTTTTTTTACCTTGCTTCCTCAGGCAACTGAATAGTGGTTGGATTGAGACTCAGGGCATACTATTTGTTAAGGGATTTCAAGGCTCAGCTCAGGCTTTGGTTCTTTGAATGGCACAGCCACCACCCTGTTTAGTTTAAGGTTTATATCAGACAACCCAGGGCTAAGCTGTCTACACAGCTCCCCGTGAGTTGTCTCTGCAGAGAGACAGGGCCTCAAGGCAATTCAAGGCTGGGTCACTTTCGTAATCGCTGCCATGAGTCACATGTGTGCCCTAGACATGGTGAAACTCGTTTGTGAACTGAGCCAGACAATCCACACACCTGGTATGACACTAAATTAATGTTTCCTTTAATTTCACTGAATAAGCAAAGGATTATTTTTTTTTAGTGAAAAATAAAATATTGTTTTTGTGCTAGTGATGTAATGATAGTTTAAAAAGGTGATTTTTTTTTTTCCCCCTGTAATGGCAGGAATAATTAAATCTTTTGTTGTTTTTAGCACTCCTGAATAGCGTGTAGAAACGTGTATATAAGAACATTAAATCTGCTGTTTTTATTAAATGTGTTTCTGTAGAGCTTTGGGAAATACAGCAGCTTCCGGCAGACTATTGTTTTGAATTTGAATCCTATCCCTCTGTGGAATATACAGAGCTTTTTTATCCAGTTTTGCAGACAATCCATGAGAACATTGGGATCTCTCTATTGGTCTGGGTCATTGAGCTAACAAATTTTGGTTTATATTTGGAAGAATACGGGGATCAAAATTATCGCCTGAAGCCCCATGGAGAAAAAAGCTGATGAATGAATTGATTAATAATATAAACCATTTGATCTGAGACTTAACTGTAACAGAAATTGAAAAATATCTTTAATTTTTAGACAGCCCAAATTTGAGCATGATCATGATTTTTCTCTCTATGATAGTCTAGTTTGAGCATATTATATTTTGGAGCCCCCACTTTCTGCAGCTCCACTCATATTTTAATAACTGAGGTGAAGATTATAGCCCACAATATAAGTTTATGGGTCTGAAAAACAACCTCAGTTCCCTTATTTTTTGAGAAAATAACAAGTTGCTTGCCTTCATGAATTAATGGTATTTATTAAACCTTCTTCAACTGTTACAGCAGTTGATAACATGATCATAGCAGATAGTGGAAGAGTTTTATGGCTTCTTGAACAAGAGAATATATCAGTAGAGCACAAGTCCTTGGAAGCAGAAAAAACCCTACATTTCATTAAATATTTTTCGTCTTCAACAAACATATTGCCTCCAGAAATGTTCAGTTTCTCCTTGTCACAGGCCTTTCAGTAGTATGCCGAATAGGAATCTAACAAATCTGCCCTCTGGATAAAAACGAGCAGATACATCATAACCACACACTCAGACAAGTAAAATATCCTGCCACTTCCCCCATGGGATATTTGATCTGCTCATAAAGCCTCACACATCTTAGCACTTCATATGATGGAAAAAGCAACTGCCTTTTACTTTTTTTTTAATATGCTAGCTTGCAAATTGAAGTGATTTTGAAGCAAATTTCCATGGTGGTGTTCTACTGAAGTATGGCTAATGGAGCTGCCTTACACAGAAGGTTATTTACTTTCTGAAAGGTTTTATAAGCTCTCAATGAAAGGTGCTCACAGTCTGAAACTCATTTGCTACAACATACAAAATTAGAGTTAGAAAACACAGATTAGACTTAACAGATTCCTTATTAAAAAGTAAAATGTTTTTGTGGTTTTAGGCCAGCTTTAAGACAATGTGACACTTTAAGCAAAAGGATACTATTCCAAATATTAAAACATACTAGTAACTCCTGGTAGGAAATTTCATTTACAGAATTTTGAAACATACACTCACACAGAAAACTGTTTATTCCCCTGATTGTCTGTTGTCCCATGTTCCTTAAATAAGAAAGTGATGTCAGATGCAAGAGGGATAGTTGCCATCATATTATCTTTGCAGCTCGACTGTCAGTAGAGCTCTGATCTTCCCAGCTGTTTCAGTTACACTTCACATCTTTTCCAGTTCAGATAAACCTATGGTTAATTAAAAATTTATTTTATTTATCTTGTTAAATTGGAACTGAAATTTTTAAGGAAGAAAATGTATGAAATTATTAAGAGAGAAGATAACAAACAGACATGAACACATACAGCTATTGAAATGTTTTGTTTAAAATGATGAGAATAGAACCAGTAACACTTCTTTTGTGAACAGAACCAGAGCCAGTGTTTGATGTTACTGCAACGTTGACGGCTGATAATGCTGTCCAAATTAAATGCAGCATTAAAAATGTGTATGGAGCAAAAAAAGTATTTGAATTGACTTGGGAAAATGATGGAACAAACGACACCAGATACAATATTTGTGATTTTAAAAGAGAAAATCTCTCATACTTGACAAACTATACTTTTACGGTAAGTAGGCTTATTAAATTTTATATATATATATAAAAATATTGCTGTATTTTCATTGTTTAAACATGTTATACTTGATTTTAGGAAAAAAGACAAATATGATGGCAGAAAAGTTAATCTATCGATCCGTAGGCCACAGATATAAAGAAGTAGCTGTTACTTCGGAAATAAAATGCATATATGCCTAGCCTATCAATCAATCCCTTGTGTGCTATTCCACATAGGTTCTGACAACATGAAAAACAGAAGCTGAATGGATTGTTTTCACTTGCGACAGAAAGAAATTTGGGGTCTCCATACATTTTAAAATAGTTTCTTAAGTATAACTGATATTTTAGTGTTTAAAACACATTTCATTTAATGTATGTCTGACTGTCATTTCAATCAGAGGATAAATATGGGATTTAAGTCTTGAGATAATTGCTCAGAAGTAAATTGTTCAGAATTTTTCACTGTGAAAATTTTTGATGCTTCAGGGGCTAGTTAGTGTTAAGCAGTTCAGATCCTTTTGCATGTCCTTACATCAGCCCTTTACAAGCCAGTCCTTGTTTCAATACAATATATATCATCCTCTGTTTACAAGCTTCACTTTCCTGAGGCCTCCTGCTATTTTCTCTTGTTTCAGGCATTTTACCCTTTTGGCAGTTGTTGCTTGCAAAGCCAATGGTCTTGTGTGATCCCCTTAATGTGGCCAGTAGGAATATTTTTTATATCCTGATAGCTCCTCTCAGTAAAGTTTCGGTAAGAAAGTAATCACTAGGAATGATGGAGTTTTAATACTTTTAGGAACCAGTTTCACTCATTTTCCAGAATCTTTTCCTCTTTTCTCTGTGTCTTCCTGAGGAAATGCTGTATCAGAGAACTTGAGTAGTCTAGGTTTTGTTCCAGGGCTTTGTCAGTATTTTTCCAACAGATTCTGCTCAGAAAGCTTTGTATTTGTAAAATAAAGATGAAGTCCTGTAGGAGGAAAAGATGCTTGCGTTGCCCCCATAGTACGAGACCCCTACACTCTTGTAAGTTTTTTGTACACCACTTGCAGTAAGCAGTTTGCCTTACAGCAGTAATTGGATTCTGCTTGGCTTTAAACCCTGGCTTCTGCGTCAAACTTATTTTGCCCAATTCTTACTGGAAAAACAGAGAAAGCCTTATGGCCTTAACTAGTAATGAAAGGATTCTGGGTCAAATTATGGAAGGCCCAAAAGAAAAAAACAGATCACCTGTGAGACTTGGCAGATGTCATGATTCCCTTCTATCTGCACACTGAATTGTTCAGGGGATAAACAGGAGCCTATCCAGCATACTTTTTGGTTTAGTGATGTTTTGACCCTGACTGCTGCACTAGGTTTCTGGCTTTCACTATTTGAGAAGCTTCTTGCTTATTTTCTCTGCCACCTCTGCTACTCCTTTGTATGTTGCCACCTACCTTGGCTTTCTTCCCAGCTGCAGAATTCAGAAACCACCAACCCCCTGAACACATTGGCCTTTTAGAGCAGAGGGTGGGAGCTGGGGCACAGTGCTCAGAGTCTTCAGGAGAAGTTTCTCTTAAGTGATCGGATCGGGTAGGCTTAGTAAGAGCTCAGCCTGCAGCCAGCAATGGTGCTAATTGCCCTGCTCCTCCCCTTTTGGATGATTTGCAGCAGGAGAATATTACTATTAAAATTACTATTATTCAGTCCTGTTAGTATTTGTCACTGTTTAGTATTAAATCTTTAAGTTTAATTGTAAGATTAATTTTTCTTCACAAGAAAATTGTGAATATTTGAACTACCAACTTCAAACTGCCTATTAGATCTGATAGGAGTTTCTATTAAGGAAATATAAAAGATTGGATAAACATAAAATATATTATGAAATATAAACACATCTAAAGAAAGTTAGTATTTTAACACCAGTTAAAGTACCCAAAAGTTAATGTTGCAAGAAAGCAGCTTATTTAAAAGTTTATTTTGGCTTCTATAATTTAACCTTTTAAGAATTACTTCCCAAACAGGAACTTGTATTAAAAATATCCAAATCAGTTTACTATTTGTACATTACTGTTGAAGCAAATAAAAAAATGACATTTTATTACATATTGCATGGTTATTTTTCAGATTTGAGAGGTTTGATTTTGATTTGATAAGCGATAAATTTGATTTTGTTCCTTGAGATACATCTGATTTTGATTTTGTAAAATGTCTCTTATTTCACTATCTTTTTTCCCAGTCATCTACATATTTTTGGTTCTAGATCTTGCTGTAACTGATAGTGCAGCTCAGGTTTCCACCTAAATGGCTATACAAAGATTGACAGCAGATCCTGCTGTTATGAAGTTGATTCACTGAAAACAGATGGATGTATTTCAAATGTCCATTGTGCTTTGCTTTTTTAAAAAAATCTATGCAGAAATTTTTACTTGTTATATCTTAACATCTCTATTATTCTCACCCACTGCATGCAGATCTTAGTGTTTAATGGAGAACATAGAGGGCAGCCAGTAAAGAAGAGCATAAGAACCAGATGTAAGTAAATATATACAGCATTTTTACTTTTAGAGTTTAGCATAGTGTAGAGTAATAGTGTAAATTGTGAATTCTGTTACAATTGCTCCTAATTAAAAATCCAAACTGCCTTTTTTATAGTTAATAGTTGATCTGCATTTGAAAAAATATCCTCATTCAGCATTAATGTAACAGATCATGTTGACAAGTCATTGTAATTCAGAATTATTACACAGCTGTGGTTTCTTCAGGAAACATTCGAATGCAACTAGAAATTCCTTTCTCTAACTTAAATTACGCACTTTAGGATTATTTTCCTGTATTCAGATCCCGTGTATCAGGAGCTGAACATCTGTGACTTGTCAGGGATTCCCAACTCCCAGATCAGGAGCAGCTGAGAGCTCCACTGCTCAGGTGTACAGGTCACACAGAGCAGGAGACAAGCCTGGTAATGCTGACACAGTGAGTGAGTTGTAGTGTTTTGACAGGTGGACGTGGAGAGTTTAAGTGAAAGTTTTCTTAATGAAGAAATAAAATTCCCTCCTTTTATGTGAGCTTAAAAGTTTTTGGTGGTTTCGAATAACAAACTTAAACTAAACAGTTAAAAATAATTGTTTAGTTCCTGTCACAAAAAAATCAATGGGCCCTGGTTCTAGGAATTATACAGATTAAAAAAAAAAAAAAAGGAAAAAAAATTCCATTAATTATGTATCCAAGAAATAATAAATGTATTCTTTTTCTGTTGCTAGATAATTCTAAAGCCCTGATTATATTCTTGGCATTCTTGATCGTTGTGACATCAATTGCTTTACTACTGGTTCTGTACAAAATCTATGATCTTCACAAAAAAAAGCTTAGGTAAGCTTCATGTTTCTCTCCCTCTCTTATATAAATGGGGGGGGGCTTCCTGTTTTTCCACAAGATTTCCCAACGGGTAGTGCAATAATGTTACAAGTTTGATATTTCATTAATACTGGGAAAAGACATCCTTTTAATCCTTTCAGAAGAAACTCAACTTTGGTGATTGTCTGGGAATGCAAATACAACGAAATAGATTTAAAATCTCTCTGCTATACCCTTTCTCAGGGTACAGAACTGATCTGCTAGAGCAAAATTGTTTGTCACTAGTTTTGTGAAAAAATATTCACAAATATCTGGAAAACCTTTCCTTCATGATTTAAATTAAAAGTAATGAAAATAATACACACTTTCTTGGAACTCTTTCAAATGCTTATTCACCCAAAACAATATCTCAGGGAGGCTTTGTTTATTATAGTCATCTCTAGGTGACTTGGCAGTTTTGTAGGACAGCAAATGGTGATAGAAGAATGGTCATTCCCTTCCCTTATGACTGTGCCAGAGCCCTGGAAAGCCAGGCTCACTGCTGCTATTGCTGTGCAGGGAGGTAGTGCAATGTGTGAGGGGGCATTTGCTGCTGGTAGAGACAGAGGAGTTAAGGCAATTTCTTCAGAAACCTCTCAGCCCTCTGGCAACAGCAGAACTTGGGGACTCCTCTCTTCCAGCCCCTTTTCCTCCCTGCTCTTGCCCTTAGGGGGACAGGGAGCTGCTGTTGCTCAGATGCAAACTTTTGTGCTTAGGGAAGCAAAACTAATTTTTGCTTGTACAGCTCCAGAGAGTCTGGCTTGTTCTTGGCTACTTAGCATTTAAACTTAGTTTCATTATATTTTATGTATGTGTTAGTTTTTTGTCATTTATTTAGCAAGAGAAACAAAGATAGTGTGAGCAGTCACTCCAGTGAAGAAATTAAAGGCATGTTTGCTGCAGGTGATATGGACAAAATTATGCAAGCAGTAAAGCTGTTTGATGTAGTTCCCTTGTTTCTCTCCCTCAATAGTGCTCAGAGTAGGAAGGCAAGGGTCCCAGCTACCTCTGTGTAGGGCCTGTTAAGTCCCAGCTGTAGCAGTCTTGTTTCGCGGAGAGCTTGCAATGCGGTCTGCTGGTTATGAACAGTCTTGGTGTTCACATACAAAACAGCTTTTATTTAACTCATTATCATATATATGTCTTACTAGTCAAAGCTTTTACAGCTGCTTTTGTTTCTTACAGCAATTCTTCTGAAGGCGTGAACCTTGTTGCAGGTGACTATCTTTATATATTTAGCAAGTAGAAATAAAACTAGTTGCATGTCTTGCTGCCACCTTTGATTGTTTACTTTCTAGGTTTTATACATAGATTACAAATATCAACATGATAACACCTCATTTGGAGAAAAAAAATACTTCAGTAAATATATAGCAGAAGTGTTTATACTTAAATGAACTGAAAGTTTGTAAGTGTTTAAAAACCTCTTATTTATTATTTAATTACAAACCCAATTTTGTTATCACAGACAATGGTTGTAATATGTTTAACACTCAGAGTAAGTCCAAAATCAAATATAGGTTCAACCAGAATTTCCCTTTCCTGTGCACCTTTCTCAAAGCAAGAATTTAAACATAAGCCAGTCGTTCTTGACCGCAAAATTTTAAAGGCTTTCAAATTGCAAAGAATGACACAGAACATTATGTGCAACTTTTTGCACAAGATTTCAAAGCCTATGAAAAAAGACAGGATCAGTTAGTACCAGAAAGTTCCAAGAAAAAAATAATTTATGACATTCAAGCCCACAGAAATTAACTGCATTAAATGGGAAGTAATACTGTGTTGATATTCAAATACATTTGCTTAGACACACAGTTGTTAAAAAAAAAATCCTTTCAATGTAAATGAAAAATTAATAAATGTCTAGTTAAAGATGTTAAAACTTGTTCAGTCATTACTTTATCATTAAAGATGATATTACAGATTATTGCAAATCAGAGAATAAGTTGGAGAAAATTGGGAAAAGTAGGCAATACATGTTATTACATTTGTGGGTTGTTTACACAGTAATCCTTTTCACCACTGATGAGAAATGGTCAGAATTGAAGTAGAGGATGAGGCCATGTTACTGTTGTGGGTGTTTGGGGCTGTTGCACTGACCTGAATGTGACAATCGCCACTTTGTTCAAAAGTGCTGTTAATGCAATGTCCCTGCACGTGGCCTCCTCCTGAGGTGCCTCCAGTCAGGTGGCAGAGCTGACGAAGTTCTGTTATTCCCAGGGCCCGGTTGCTCGCAGCTGGCTCCAGCAACACCATTTTTTTTGAAAAATAAACAAGCTAAGTTAAAATAAAGAGGTTTGTCCTTTTGTTAATTTATCTGAATTAGATAATCACGTTTCTTGAAATGTAATTTACATTTTCAAAGCCAGTAATGATAAACGTTCAACATATTTACACAGTTAAAGATGATGACAGGCAACTTCTGAATATAGAGCCAATACCTTCAGAGCAATTGCTGGACACATACAAGAGGAAGATTGCTGATGAAGGAAGGCTTTTCTTGGATGAATTTCAGGTTTGTCATTGGCTCAAAATATACCACAGATTTGTAGCCAGGTGGTTGGAAGAATTGTGTTCAGGAGCATGTTTGAAGTATATGCACTGGTTATAAATAAATAAAAAAATAAGAATCTAGAAAATTGAGTGAATTCTCATCTAAGGTCAAACAGGCTTCAGTTAATTTTGCTACCAAGCTCTCTTCATTATAAGGTGATGGTACTTCTTTTTTTTCTCCTGAAGGTGTTTTTCAGCAAAAGTATAAAATACACAGTCTAAATACTTCTCATTGTAAACTATCTTTTAATGCATATTTTTAGTACCCTGTCTTACTCCATAGCCATGGGGATATAAATAATATATAATTGTGATGATATATATTATTCATATTAAGGGAAAATAAATTTATTTTAGATATAAGAAATATATGAAGTGGTATCATATGAAACAGAATGTTATCTTCCAGACTCAGTAGTACCAAATTGCTTCCATATGCATTTGACTGTAAGTAGAAGCTATTTTAAATATATGCTTACCTAATAAAAGAAATATTTTATTTTACAGAGTATTCCTAGAGTTTTCACTAAATTTTCAATAAAGGAGGCCAAAAAACCCCATAATCAAAACAAAAACCGTTACATTGACATCCTTCCATGTGAGTATTTGTTACAATTTTTGCATGTTTTATAAATATTTGTTTTCTCAGTGCCTTGAGATAATATAATTATTTTGTTTTAAATGATTTAAACAGATGATCATAACCGTGTTGAGCTCTCAGAGATCCCAGGAGACCCAGGATCAGACTATATCAATGCAAGTTATATTGATGTGAGTGACTTCTACTTTAAAAGTCTTAGGCACGATCGAAGAAATTCTATAGTCTGTACATTTCATGCATCAAACACCTTTGAGGATTTCCATTTGAGTTCTTCCTATCTTTGTAATGTATTCAGTATTATTGGACTGTTGCATATTGAATTTATTTTTAAAGTTGCAAATCTTTTAAATTGTTCATGCTTCCTTTCTAAAAATTGATAACATTGTACTTTTTATAGGGCTTCAAAGAACCAAGAAAATACATTGCTGCACAAGGTAATTTTTAACCTTAAAAGAATATGCTTTCTTTATTCACCCATTTTTTGTTAGAGAGTGGTAAAAAAGTATTAGTAAATTTAAAGAAAAATTGAAAATCTGACATTTTGAAATTTAATATGAAAAAGTTGCCAATGAGTTTTTGCTTAGGAAATTCTGTGAAGATTAATAAATTGTACTTCAAAGGCAGATTTCTCATGATCTATAACTTTACACCAAAAGTTTTCAGATTTCACAGCTATGCATTAAGGATATATATGAGACTTCTAAAATGTTGTAGCCTGATGGCAGCAGTCATAATGAAATCAAGTGTGTGGCTGTTATCTGCATGATCTATGGTAAGCTTTTCAGACCTCATAGCTAAGCATGTCAAGAAGGCAAGTATTTTTTCATGTGGCTGCACTCTTTGAAAAACTGCCTTAAATATCTCCTGCTAGGCCCCAAGGATGAAACCATGGATGATTTCTGGAGAATGATCTGGGAACAGAAGGCAACAATTATTGTCATGGTGACTCGCTGTGAGGAAGGAAAGAGGGTGAGAAATATCCATCCATCCATCCATCCATCCTTCCATCTGTCCATCCATCCATCTTTCCATCCTTTTGTCTGAAAACAGAATGGGTTGCTGTGCCATGGTGAATTACATTTTCTTCTTAGTACTTTGTTTTCATTCTTTGCTGTTCTCTTGTTGTGGCAGAACCTATGTTGGAAAGCATGCCAAAACAGTGTTGCCTTATGGAATTACCAGTCTTATCAGAAAATGTCACTTTAGTCACAGCTGTAAGTAGCAGAGGGTGAGCTTCCAAATTACAGCTAATAAATCCAGAAAAGGGCCCAAGGTAGAAGTCTAGCTCCTCACAGACCTGTCATAAAAGGTATGATTTGTATTTTAATCCTGTCTATTATCTTCTGATATCCTGGCAATGCCCTCAGTAAATCCTAGACAGAATTTTTTTTTTTATCCATTGTCTTTGCCCTTCCTTTAACTGGAAGATTTGGTGCTTCTGGCTTGCTTTTGTTCCTTATTCCAGGAAGAAGGGGAACTGCTGTTCTAACTGCTTTTAAAGATGAAAACGTTGGCAGTGTGCAGATTTACAGCATCCCCAAGTTGATGTTATAGGCAGGCAGGAGCAACATCCCTCACTGAAGACTGAAAAAGAGGCCACAGAAGTAGCTGCAAACTTTTCTACAGCCTTCAGGCAACAGCAGCTGTAACTGTTCACTTTTTCAACTAGTATCAGGATTTTTTCCCCACTTTATGTTCCAAGTTAAATTCCATGGGCATAAACTTCAGGTCAGAGATCTGAATTGTTGGATATTTGGAATTATTTAGTGCTGACATCCTAAACAGTGACAGCCTTTTCAGGAGAGGAGAAGACCTGTGGGAAGTTGGAAAAACTGTACTGAGTTGCTGCCTATTTTAAATCAGACTTTCTTTTAGCTCTCAGCTCTCTGCCACTTTGCTGTTGTGCTGCTCACCTAACTTCATATCTTCATAGAACAAATGTGCCCAGTACTGGCCATCAATGGAGAATGGCTCCGCAACATATGGGGACATCATTGTGAAGATCAATGAAAGTAAAACATGTCCAGACTATGTCATTCAGAAACTACACATCACAAACGTAAGTTGATTCAAAAGTGTAAGACTGACTGGAACTGGAGTGTCTATTTGGAGTCTGTAGGTATTGTTGAGAGATCCTTTTAAGAGAAGACTCAGATATCAATGGAAGATGCTCTGCTGTTTTTCCCTAAGCAACATAAAGTTTAAGAGAAAACTTCTTAGATGTAGGTGTCATTCCTTACAAGTAATATGAGTCAGACATATTTCCCAACTTAAAAATGTATTTTCCTTAGTACTCTGGAATCTACATTTAAGAGGAAACTGTTAATACGCTGTTAAGTATGGAAAACTCAATACACTGTGGTTTCCTTAGATATTTAGCTTGTTCTTTAACACAGAAATGTTACTGGTTTATGTGTATCTCAGCATAACCTTCTGCAAGTAAAATCAATGTGACTCATAAAGCACCATTATCTACCCTTGTGATAATTGTACAGTGGGAAGATTACATATTCTGGTAATCTCAAGTGCATTTATAAACATAAGTGTTTTAAAATTACCATTTGGCTACATGTAGAATCATTAAGGCTAGTTAATTGCTCTTTTTTACACATCTGAAATCACATTAGTTGCTCTGTGCATAACTGAGAACAATATTTGCCATGTAAGGCTAAATGTTCCTCCAGCCCTTCGCAAAAATATTTCAGTGAGGACAAATGGAGCTAAGTCATAGCTAAAAGCATTAAGACTCAAAGAGTAAATCTGCTGACAGATCTTCAGCAAAATAGTCAAGCAACAGATTCCATCCATCTTGATCCATGATTACAGCTGGAAATTCCTATTCCGCTGTCTTATGTTGCACTAAAATTTACTCAGGAGGTGGTCTGATTAAAAGCAAGTTGTAACTTAGTGTGAAGACGGTGAGAATATCAGGATGTTAAGAATTGACTATTAACAAAGACATTACTCTGTGACTAGAACAATCTGACATTAAAAATATATATATTAAAAAACTCCACACTTCACTTTGTCTAGGGAAGAGAAAAGACAACTGGAAGAGATGTCACTCATATTCAGTTCACAGGCTGGCCAGACCATGGAGTCCCTGAGGATCCGCATCTGCTTCTCAAACTCCGACGCAGAGTTAACGCTCTCAGCAACTTTTTTAGTGGCCCAATAGTGGTTCATTGCAGGTAAATATATATTAGTTTTTAAAAATTATGTTAGATGAACATGAAATGAAGCTATTCAGAAAAGGGAGCTAGCAAAGGTATTTGGCTGATCCCAAATTTCGTGACTTGATTACTTGAGAGTGAGGCAGCTAAAGATGTATAAAAATGCCTGTTTTCTGACGGATCTGAAGGATATTCAGGTAGATAAATTCTGAGGATACATAGACTTTTGGACTTTTGGAAAGCAGCCAGGTAAATGTTGGGCCACTCTAGCTATAATCACCATGTTTGGCAATATTGGCCTTTACTTTCATTAACAGATAATTAAAATACAAACTCATCATTGTTTGTGTTGCCAATTAATTTACAGCAAGAACTGTTTCAGTTGCTTCATATCCCATTGTTACACATTTGCACTTTTGCTCTTTCACTGACTGCTCCACTCTGAGTGGGACTGGGAGATGCCATTCCCTCTTGAAAACCAAATCGCTTTGTGCTTTGCAGTGCTGGTGTTGGGCGCACCGGGACATATATAGGAATTGATGCCATGCTGGAGGGGCTGGATGCAGAAGGCAGAGTCGATGTTTATGGCTATGTTGTGAAGCTGCGTCGGCAGCGGTGCCTCATGGTTCAAGTAGAGGTATCTTGCTAAAACTCCTGTCACTTTGTACTCTCCTTTGCTAGGGCTTCATCAGTATTTCTCAGAAGTGCGCTGCTCAGTCCTGGGTACTGCTACAGTTCAGTTGAAATTGTTCATAGAAAATATAGCTCTGAAGAATATTAAGAGAGAGAAAAAGTTTCAACACAGTTTTTCAATTTTAGAAACTTCAACTTTTTAAGTTTAGGCTTTAAAAAAACGGAAGCCAAGAAGGACATTTTAGATTTGATAATCCAGCTTTTGGCATACAATTCGCAAATGCAAAATTGAGCTTGCATAGTCAACTTAATTTTCAAATTCTAAAAACTGTCTAGGTGGGATTTTCAGTTGAGTTGAGAGTACAACAAAAGTTAAGGGCTGATGCAATGCATGTTTTTAACTTACTTAAGTGTTTTGCAGATCTTTCAAATCTCAGTTGCCTATTTCTTGAACGACATTAGATTTATTTGCAGAACACTTTTCATCCAACACACTATATGTGTTCCAAAGTGTCTAATTTGGGGCCACTCTGATTTTTAATACTTGTATTTAATGCCTGTTCAACGTTAATGCTTAATATTGTTAACACCAATAGCATCATGGGACTAATAGTTTCTTATAATGGTTTTAAAAAGTGATATGGTTTTGTTTTTGTTTTTTTTTTTACTCTTTAATAAATTCAATTTTAAACCTTTTAAATGGGAAACACCAGTCACAGTACATCCTTATCCATCAAGCACTAGTGGAATACAATCAGTATGGAGAAACAGAGGTCAGTCTCTCAGAACTGCATTCCTATCTTAACAATCTGAAAAGGAAAGATCCTCCGAGTGATCCTTCTCTGCTGGAGGCAGAGTTTCAGGTAAATAAGCATTGCATTCTAGTGCCCCTACCTCCCACTTACATTAGAAAGTGCCTTGCACAATAGTCCTGAGATAGAGATACCATACATAATAGATCACTTCTGTGCTATTTTATTTCTCTGGCACAGAAACAGTTTCTTTACCTTCATGAAAAAGCTGTAAATTAATGAAATTTTATTCCTGCTTTTGATATTAATATTTTTTTAAAAGATGGGGAGCATAGAATGATTACTTGTGTATATGTGAATGATTTCCTGTGCCATTGTACATGATACAGCAGGCATTTTTAAACTATAGTCCAGATGTGACCTAAGTTTAAAGAATTAAAGTAAGAAGTGAGACACTGGGAGATGATGACTGGGTGTCCAGAGGTGACAATGATCCCAGGAACCATTTTAATCGAGCATAATACCAAGCATCCTCTTTCTTTAGAGATTACCTTCCTATAAGGGGTGGCGGACACAGAACATTGGGAATCGTGAGGAAAATAAAAGCAAAAATAGGAATGCCAACATAATTCCATGTAAGTATTTTCCATGAACCTTCCCTTATTGTATCTGTTATCTTCTGTAAGGAAACCTACTAAATTTTGAAAAAATAAGCACAGTAAATCACCTTACTGAGATGTATTTGATTGATTAATTTTTTCAACACTATAATATTAGAAACTTCTCACAGTGTTTTAAAAAAGAATAGTTTTTTTAAAAAGTGAATTATTGGGAGTGTTTAAGTTTATTTCAAATAAAGTGGCCTTTGTTCTGCATGTTTTTAACTTACTTAAGTGTTTTGCAGATCTTTCAAATCTCAGTTGCCTATTTCTTGAACGACATTAGATTTATTTGCAGAACACTTTTCATCCAACACACTATATGTGTTCCAAAGTGTCTAATTTGGGGCCACTCTGATTTTTAATACTTGTATTTAATGCCTGTTCAACGTTAATGCTTAATATTATTAACACTAATAGCATCATGGGACTAATAGTTTCACAACAGTCTGTTGTGAAAAGGCTGGCCTTTATCTGTTTTCCCCCCTGCACATGTGGCAACAGCCCCTCTTTAATGCTATACCTAAGCACCAGTGTGGCGTGACAGTGACACTTTGTCTCATGCAGATGACTTTAACAGAGTGCCGATCAGGCACGAAGATGAATGCAGTAAGGAGGGTGAACGTGATTCAGATGATTCCTCGGATGAGGATAGCGACTGTGAGGAATCAAGCAAATACATCAATGCTTCCTTCATAGGTGTATGTATTTAGAGCATCCACTATAAGTATTTCACAAGCTTTTAGCTAAAACTATATTCTAGCTTAAACTCTTATTCTCTTACTGGCTTCACAAATAGAATAGGATTTACCTGAATAAGGGAGAAAGATCTGGTAGTTGATTGGCAAATCCATTTATAGTTTTAATCATCAAAATCTTCTACATTTTGCTGCACTAATAAGATGAAACTCTTTCCCTTACATGGCCTTAGACTGTGCAATCACAAATAGTGAGACTAAACATAGAAACACTTTTTTTGCATGTGTGTGTTATTTTTAAAACCACTAGCTTTCAGACTGGCCTCATGATAACATGTATTTCTATTAGTGGGCATCTGCCTAAGTACAAGTTGATCCATATTAATGTTTTCCCTATTAGTGAACTGTGAGTATAATTACTCACGTATACAAAACCCTACTAGTGAAAATTGGGGCCATCAGTTTTTTTGGTATCATATATACCTCCAAAAGAAGGAGAGCAGTTATTGGTCACTAATGAAGTAACTGATTTTAATGGAATTGCTACCTAAATCCTTTAAAATGCTGCACAGTTAGGATATCTGTTCAGGGTAAATGTATTTTTACTTTTGGGTAGCTCAGTGTGAACTGACTGGTACACCAGCTTTGTGTGGTATAAACTCAATTTCTTACTGGTCAAATTAAACAGCTGTGTAGAATTAAATGTTTTAGCCCTTAAAAATATGCTGTGCAGAATATGGCAAGGTGAGGTCTCACCCACTGCAGCATGAGTATACCTTGTTGTCAATCTGGAAGTGATACTGTTGTTAGGAGGATTGAGTTTAATGTCATTTGGCTTGTTGAATTCCTGTAAGACCGTTGCCTACTGCAATAGGCGTATTTTCACTATAAACAAAAGGGTTCATTAGTTTATTTCACTGGGTATTCCTTAAATGACAGTGAGTTCTGTTGCTTGATAATCACATTTCAAATTAATTTAAGAAAAAAATGTTAACAATTTCTTTTATAGGGTTACTGGGGTCCAAAAGCCATGATTGCAACACAGGGACCACTGCAGGAAACTCTCTCTGACTTCTGGCAAATGGTCTTCCAAAGAAAAGTCAAAGTCATTGTTATGCTGACAGAGCTGAAAGAAGGAGATCAGGTGAGAGCATCGTCTTCACACTGACATATTAAGGGTCCTCTCTAGGCAAAGAAAACACTTCACTGCACTCTCTCATTCCCTTCCTCCAGTTAAGCTTGTTTCATAGGATGAGGAATTTGGATTTTCAATATAATTTGTTCCATTATTTACCTTCTTAATTTACTTTCTAATGAATTTTTGAGGGGAAGAGTATATGATGCTATATTTTAAAATACAATGATGCTCCTACTACTTTAACGTCAATACGTTCTGTAAGTACATGTGGAAGATAAAATAAAAGGAGGTTTGAATGGTAAGCACTGACTTGTACTTTCACCCATTTTAGGAACTCTGTGCACAGTACTGGGGAGAAGGAAAACAAATGTATGATGGCATAGAAGTTCAAATGACAGATGTCAACTGTTGTCCTAGCTATACCATACGTGCATTTGATGTTACACATCTGAAGGTAAAAGTTTCATTGCAAATTCCAAAAGGAAGTTTTAAATTTGTTTCCCTGTTATAAACTTAGCCTAAAGAAAGAAAAGGGACAATTCCCACTGCACTTACCTGCTGGTCTAAGAAAAGGAAATATTTTTCTCTTCCACACCAGCAGCCAATTGTGATAAATGCTATAAATTATCTCAATTTTCCCATTTAGTGAGTCGTTGAGATGGTGGTAGTGGAGTCTCAGGACGTCAGCTGCCTTTTGTACTTTGAGCAAAGCTTGGATGTCTACCTACCTCATATTCATGAGGTAGAACTCACATCACCATGCAATTTCTCAGGAATATAATTTTTCTTTTGTAAATCAGCTGCAACAGATGTACTACATGAATCTTTATTTTAACCCGAACATTGACTTTATCTCTGCTGCTGTTTTTCAGACGAAAGAAACACAGAAGGTGTATCAATATCAGTATCACAAGTGGAGTGGCTTGGATGTGCCAGAAAACCCCAAAGATTTAGTCAGCATGATTCTCAACCTTAAACAAAAAGTCCCAGCCAGACCAGTCACTGAGGACAACAGAAGTACCCACAGTGTCCCACTTGTCGTCCACTGCCGGTGGGTCTAAATTCAGCACATAATGTAGCTCTAAGTTCTGGGTATATGTAGCAACCACAATTTTGAGGTGCCTACCTTTTCCCACAAGACTTTCCTTGTGTCTGGAGACTCAGCTCTCCCTAGAAGATTCCTTGAATTGCTCAAGCTTGACCTTTTTGATTGTAGTGATAAAAAGTGAGCATACGTCTCTGGCAAGCGTGGTCATGGAGTAGGTGGTCAGAGCTAGCTGCTCTTGCCTGGTACATGTATTTTGAGAAGAAATGCTAGGTCAGGGTGCTCTTGTAGCATACTACTAATGGGGATCCAGCAGAGCTTTTGGGTTTCTCTCTCACTGCCGTACATAAGCCCATTTTTTAGGACCATTTCCAGGAATAGCCTTGCATACCATCTAAAACAGAGGATAATCCTGCTAACAGTTGTTGAGACTGTAAGTCTGAAGCTTCTAATTTCTCTCTTGCCCCTTAATTGGCCACATGAGATCCAGGTAGCCTCTAGATAAACTATGTCTTGTGTGTGTCCTCCAGATATTCTTAATTGTAACAATTTCAGTCCAATAAAAAATGTTTTGGAAATGTAATTTATTATGTAGACTTTGAAATAAATCTAACATTTAGTCAGAGGACTTGCTGATTTTACATTTTAAATTTACTTGTATATTTTACATCATCTCCTAGTGATGGATCACAACAGACTGGTGTATTTTGTGCTTTAATGACCCTCTTGGAAAGTGCAGAAAAAGAAGAAGTAATAGATGTTTTCCAAGTAGTAAAAGCTCTTCGTCGCACCAGGCTGGGAGTGGTCTCCACCTTTGTAAGTAAATCTTATGAGTCTGTGAGATGTCCAGAGCTGCAATTCTGTAACATCTTTGTGGAAGGGTACATATTACAAAATTACAAATTGTATAAATGGATGTTTCTGCTGTTGCTGCAGGGACCTATGTGCACAGCGTCCCTTAACTTCTGCAGTTAGGAGGCTAACTCCATTTCACAGGCTAGCAGCCATTGACTTGTTTTGTTTAAATCACTCTGGAGAAATTGTGTCTCTGTGGCATACACTGTGCATTTACTAACAAACCAGGCCTAGGTGTCATCGATATGGGGCAGGTTATTAGACGGCTTTCCTGGACTCCTTACAATATGTGTTGTTTACAGCTTAGGTACTCTAAATCCCATGTTTTTGGTACTTTGTGAACCAAGAGGGTACTGAGTGATTGAACTCGGAAGATCATGCAGGCAGTTACAGAGACATTTCATACACATGAAGTCAGAATAAACCATAGAAGCAACACTCTGTACACCAAAAACTGTAGAAGCTCCTTCATATGCAGACTTGCATGTTCAACTGCATGTTACATTTCTACAGTTTGAGAAAACAGAGAAAGAATGGGTTTGTTCTTGGGCTCTGAGCATTCCATTCATACGAACTTTTTCTCTATATATTTAAGGAACATTACCAATTTCTGTATGACACCATTGACAGCATCTACCCTGCACAGAATGGACAAATAAAGAAGAACAACCAGCAGGAAGATAAAGTTGAATTTTGCAGTGAAGTAGAAAAAACAGATCAGGAAACTGATTTGATCACAATTGATCTTACCCCATCAACGCCAGAGGAACATGAGTTTTCTGAAGTATGTGATGATTTTAAGGCTGCAGAAAGCACTAAGGGAACAGAAAGCTCTACAAATGGCCCCACAACTGCAGTTCTGACTTAGAAGCTATACTAGAAAAAAAGTGCTTTTTCATGTGCTAAAATCTTAAAAAAATAAGAAGTATAAGATTTCTTCTTCTTCCCACCTGTTTTTTTGAAAATGTTTACTGTTATATCAATTTTTCAAAGGTAAAAAATTAAAGGAATACTTGAAACTTGTAGAGAGTGACAAAGAACTGTAAAAGTTTAATTTTTGTGTAGATTTGCATTTAATACTTCTTCAGAAACTTTTCCACTATTTTTATACATTCTCTTTTAAAAATATGTACAGTGTAATACTATGTTGAGCAGTGGGAAGAAAATTTTTTACTTCTGTAACAAGGAGAAAAGCAACTCAGAACAAGATTAGTGTGTTGCAAAACCAGGTCTGTCTTCAAAACTATTAGCAGGTAAATTAACCTAATTGGTAAGCATATATTCAAGCATTTCAGGAGTGCTGACGAAGCACTGCTTTAATAATACTCCGTGGAACCTGTGGTACTTTGCCAAACAGTTTTAAGAGCTTATCATTTACATCATGTGGCAATTCAAAAGAATTCAGGTTTACAGAGAATCTGTAAGTCATCCTATACCAATGTGGAATAGAAATTTTTGCATTTTTCTAACTTGCCTCAAGGTGTCCTTGTTGCTTCACATATATTATTCTGAGATTTCAATGTTAGAGTCAAAGAAGAGTTTGGAGGTTGGCATTTGAATGATTGCAACGATTCTGATAGAAAACACATTCTCTTTACTCTTAGAGCTTAAAATACTGCTTGCTTGCACTTCTATTTCTTACGCTTACTGTTATTTAAGGGGACTGCTTCCACAAATGCATCTGACTTGTTTTCAGAATTGGAAAATACTTAGATGCTTTTCCTCCAAACCTTGTAGATTTTCATTGGTACAGGATTTTTTTTTTTTTTTTTCATTACAAGGTTTTGTATGTTGTGGTATTTTTACTATTTCTTGCTGGATTTTAGCCTACTATTTTTAGAACAAATAAAAAAGATAGTTACTAGTTGACAAGGTGGAAAGTATTTTGTTCTATTGGACTCTGCAAACTGATAATTTTCTTCTAAATGTACAAAATCTTGTGCTATCCCATGCATGGATAACATTTACAAATTTCAGTAGGAAACCACACCATTTAATTCTTATAAAACTGTGTGAACCCAGGTAAGTGTCATGATTCTTTCATCACAGAGGAAGGAAACTTAATTTTTCTTTTGCTTCAAGTCATTAAAGGAACAGTCATTCAACAGACTCAGTGCTCCTAATTTATCACTGTATATTCCTAATCTCTCTTTACAAAATGTAATTGAAAATACTTAGAGAGAGGCATGTAAACACATGTACAGTCACACTTGGTTAAAACATTAATTTAATGTTGCTGTTACTCTAGATCAAACGTTTCATTCACAATTATCAGCTCAGACAAGTGCTTCCTGGCAGTCTTGCTTGAGTAAGTGGCAGCAAACAGTCACAGAGGCAGTGGGAATCCCCTTGACTGTCAGCTGAACTACCTTTTCAGCTGAAGCTGTGTTAGATGACAAACTAACAAAGCTGAGGGGGTCGCTTCTGGAGGAAAAGCTCTTGAGACTAAATGTGAAGGTAATCTAAAAAAATTGTAGGCCCAAAGCCTGTTGACTATTTTTAGAGGAACATGTCAAAATTGCAAATTTGGCATACCTTTGAAGATCAAAACAATAAAAAGCCTTGGATTCAGATCGACTCACTGGTCCTTTGATGACAGAGAACAACTAATTTCTTCTTCTTCTAAGATTTGGCCACTGTAAAGCCTCTCTAGGTAGTTCAGGTAGTAAAATAAAGAGGTCAGTGTAGCTACCTATTGTAAGAGCGTAGAGACAGAGGCTAGTCACACTTTTAGGAATAACGGAAAATGTTTCCCAAATCAAAAATTAAGCCCAAATTTTGATTTTGTGTAAATCTGAGGGGACTCATGTACTTCAGTTCCTTGAAAAATGGTTCTACAGCTTTTTAAGCTCCTGCACCACCTGGGCTGCAAAAATTCTGGAGGATTTTATTTTGCTTAAACTGTTTTCCAGAATGATTTCAATGTTCATTTGATGGTATATTTTTTAAAAAAAATGCATGCTATGTTAACACTTGATTTGTGCATGCATTTTGAAAGAAAAGTCCTGAACTGTTAAATTTTGCCTCATGCGTGTCTTCATTGTTAGCCTAATCAGGGAAACAGAGCCTTACATTAAAACTGTCCTCATGTGCCTAGTGTAAAACAGTTTTGGAGTAAAGTTAGTCACAAGGGGATAAACTGAGCTCTTGGCTTTTAATTATTTTCAAAGTAAATAACACTTTGTGCAATTAAATCTCATTAAATCCCAGTGTGACAATTGAGGGCACCTGTCTTAACAGAGCTTAGAAGTTCTGATTGCTTGATTGCTTCTAGGAACTCTCTACATATGTACCAGGGATGGTTTTTTTGCCTTCTCCATCATCATTTGAATTTCAAAAATCCACAAGGTGGTGACATAGAGCTTATAGAAGAAGGTCATTATGCTGGATGCTCCATAGTCACTGGCTTATTCACTTGTAGGCTTAATTTTATATCTCCCAGGAATACAGTGAAGCATATTACAGGTAAGGCATGAAGCCCAAGCTAATAAGCTCTGCTAGGAAACTGCTCTGGCTTTGTTAGGGCAAGAACAGCATGGTAGCAGACTGGAGAGTGGGCATAGCCTAAAAGCTGAGAAATAAACACGCAAAGTAAGGTGCAAAATGTTTATTTTCTCAAGCAGAGCTAAGGTGCACGAAGGCTGCTAACCACTGCCTCAATCTAAGAGTTAGCTGTTGTTTGAAAGAGTTTTATAATCTGAAGTCCCGGATAAAAATAACTAAGCAGCAGACCAGCTGGGAGAGGACTTTGAGCAACAAACGAGGGTAATCAAGGGCTTATGTGACCAAAGGGACTGGATTTCTCCCACAATATGCTGGGTAGAAGCTGATAGAAAAATGGGTATGGAAAAGTGACAGTGCTGTGTTAGCAGAGTCCACTGTGGGAAGATGGGGGAGACAAAGGATCCCAGAGCCTCCGCAAGATTCTGCTTGGTCAGGTAACTGCAATGGAGAATGAACTGTGTGTTTGCTTTTGTTTAGATTTTTACGTTTCTTGTGCTCTGTAACGAACAAGGTAGTTATATTAAAATCTTTTTCAGAGATGGTACATTATGAATATCAGCCGTGTCATGATTCTTGAGGTAAATGCTATACAACACAAAAAAGGCCAGCGCACTGAGGCATGGCAGTCAGGGATGCTGTTCAAGGAGATGACAAAAGCTGTGTAGCTTTTCCACACCCCAGATTCCACTGCTGCGTTTGTGCCTGCTCCTTTTCCCACCCATACATGCAGCCGGCGTCCATGAACTTGCCCTCTCCACTTCTGAGCCAGCTGATGCTGTCAGAGCCTGCAGCCCCCAGCGGCAGTGAGCTCACTGCCTGCTGGGGAAGGGAGCACTTTCTTCCCCTTGCTCTAAACTGATCTGCTGGGAAGGAGCTGGTGGCCACACGCAGGAGTCCGAGGGGCTGGACCACGCATGGAGGGTCCCCACTTGCCCCTGCCCCACCTCTCACTGCTACCATTAGATCACCGGGTGGGGGGTGGGGGGATTTTGCCGAAGGAGCAAAGAAAGCAGTGGGTTTCGAGCTTTGCTGTGAAACAGGAAACCTAAGTTAAATATTGCATGAGAGGCACAAGCAGAGCCGGATACCAAGTCTGTGACACATGGCGGCGTTGAAGCTAGGAGCTACAAAGGGAAGTAAAATGTTAACGCCACGAGCCATTTGTTTGTGTGAGATGGCAAAGAAAGTAAGAAAGAGTAGTGGCTCAAGACAGGGGTCTCATTAAGCTGGATATTGTATCCTTTATTTAATGTTCCTCAGAAAAACTCTCCAGTAGCAGTGGTTATCTCTTTGACAGGGCATCTTGCTTTTGTAAATGCCCAAGTTTTTTGACATTCTACATTCTCCAGGTTGCCTCTAAAAGAATATCAGAAATTTCCCAAGGGCTTTACACAGCTGTATCACAGGCATTTTTCTATATGTAAAGCAACTGTTTGCCAAGAACCAGCAAGCTGTGTTTTAGAATAGGGAAAACCAAAATAGAAGAAAAGGAAAGTTTCAGTTACAGAGTACAGCACATTTCTATATGCATCAGCTTTACGTCAGAAAAAACACAAGTCTTCTGAAGAAGAACAGAATCCAATAATTTTAAAGATACAGCAACATAGAAATAAAATTTTATACAAAAGCTTTATAAGTCAATCTTTCTTTTCAATGCAAATGAAAGGAAGATGATGACTACAAAAGTACTAAGCAAGTTTCTACTAAAAGATGTCCTTTCTAGGGACAAAAAGATAATTATTTAGGAAGGATACTTAGTATAAGTTATTGTAAAATATTAGTCTCATTGTTTTAACCTTAGTGAAAAACAGGGTTTTATTAAACAGTTGTGTCCTCAGACTCAGGGTTGTCAGTATCGGCAATGCATAATGTTACTGAATTTTTGAAATTAACATAATAAACCTTTTTCAGAGGAATAGGCATATAACTATTTACAACTGGGTTGTTTCCTGAATCCTACAGCTGCACACCACCATGGCTGGCAGTACTAATGTAGTCATAAGCGTGACTCAGAGGAAAAACTGAAAAGGAAGTTTACTTTGGATCAATTTTAGCACTCAGTATCAAATTTTTGGTTTTGGAGATGAAACCTCACGATAGCCTGACCTTGCCTGGCCGTTAGCTGAGGCCCAGAGCTCGCACACATCAACACTCCATAGAGTCCTTGGGTGTATTTTCAGAGCTTGCCCGCCAGGCTGTGCTGAAACTCTTCGAATGCCTTTTGCTCTGTTCAGAGCGCTCCTGCAATGCGTTCAGCTCGCTCCCTTTCAGTAACGTGGAGCCATTTGAGGTAATGAAGATGACATTTGTTTATACAGCACTGCAGAGATTGTGTCTGTCCAAGACTAAGCACCAGTTCAGAGTGAGAGAGCATGTGTGTGTGCATGCATGTGTGTCTGCATGCGTCATTCATAGCCTTAGGTGTGAGATCACAATCCCAACCAGAAAGTGATGAGTTGTTGACTTGACAGCTGCTTGGCTTAAAACAAATTAAAAAAAAAAAAATTAGGAGAAACAGGGATGACATGGTAGGCCTGTGCTAACTTTTTTGTGGATTAATGCAGCACTGAGACAATATTGGATTGTGTGGCTGATGGGCTTTATAAGACTAGTTTTCAAAAATGAATTTGCAAAAAATAAACTACAGATGAGGTACAGGAGACTGCATGCATACAGAGCGCTTGTATTGTCACAGACTAAATCTGTGCTGGCATCAGTGGCTACTAAAAACATTATTTGTCAGGTCTCCTGATGTTGCAATAGAAGTCAATGTGTGTGTTCTTCAACTGCAGAGAAAAATGGTAAAAAAAAGACAATAGAAATGCAGACATTTGGCAAGAAGTGTCAATTTTGTTTTTTTTTAAGAAAGAAATAATAAATAATTTTTATCCTATTTTACTAATGTTAATATGTCATTTTGAGAATAGCAATATCTTGTCTAAGTTTAGCACTGTATTTCCTTTTTTCCTGCTCTTTTCTGAAATATTTAAATATATTATTTTTAATATATAATTATGTCATTGAAACCACTTCAAGACTAGAACAGTTCAGTATCATTGTGTTTCCTTTTTCTATGCTGCTTTCTTAATATAATTTCCATTCAGCAATAAAATGAAATTCTGACTTCATGTATTGATTTAGCATAAATAAAATTCTCATGGAACAGGAATTTAATTTCTTAAATGGCATTAATAAATTATTCCATAAGGAGTTATGTCTCCTTCCAAAGAGAGCGAGGCGTTTCC